GAATTCCTACCGGCGTAAAATTTTACTTAAAATTTACTTAAAATTAATCAAGGAATGAGATTTCATTACATATTTATGGTTGTGAAACACTTTACCCAAGTTCACCAAAAATACTCTTTGATATTGAAAAAATTTTCAATATCAAATATTTGCTAGTTGAAATTTTTCGCAAAAATGCATCGCAGTTTTTTTTCCTCACAAACTTGATCATCAAAATTTCATGCATCGTCGATGAAACGCTTCATGGAGACATGATTGTAAACACTTAACCGCGCGGCGAAATCGTAAAAAACAAAGCGGAAAAATTTGGTCGTGTTGCCGCGATACGGTAGAGAAAAAAAAACGCGTTACAGCGTTTAATTGATCAGACGAATTGCGCAACAACGATTCGTACGAGCGCGAGATATCATCGCATGCAGTTGTTACCGACCAATAAAACTGATCGCTGCGATTTAGTCGTGTTTAACGTGGCGATCTCCAACAACCCTATCAATAGCCCTTCGTGCAATTCGGTTTTGTTATACAAATCATAGTGTATTATAGTTATCTAATAATACATCTATCGGTGCATACTCTCCATATATTCGTTGATGTTATGATACTCGCGATAGCTCGACCGCTACCAATTGTCCAAAGTGACGGTCCTAATGAAAATTAATGCGGTTCGACAGTATATTGACAGTCGGCTATGCGTTAATCCACTACGACCGTGAGTTTATTTCGAGCAACGAACGTAACAACCATATCAGATGTAATCAGATAAATGTCATAAAAGTAGGAAGGTAATTAAATATAAGAGGTACCACATGACTGATCTCAAAATTTATTTTATGCAACACGTGCATGGAAAGTGCCCCATTACGCACGCTACGCGTGCGTGATAGACCACTTTCCAGGCACTTGCAACATAAAATAGGGAGTGTAAGCCGTGTGTAAAGATGAAAATTCCCGGGTGCGGAGTTTACGCACGAGCCGAAGGCGAGTGCGGTAACCGCACCCGGGAATTGTCATCTTACCTCACTTGTTACACAAATAACTAATGCAGAATAGAAGAAAATCGAACAAAGATACAACTGTTAAAATTGAGATTTTTTAAATAACGATCATATAACATAAAAAAGAAGAGCATTTTTGTTACTAAAAAAACAAAAATATATTCTTCAAATAAGCTTAAAAAAACATGCAAAGTTTATAGTATTATTCGCTTTTTCGTTTTTCCACAAAAAATTTCTGAAAAATACCTTTTTTTACGATCTTTCAAATCAGAACACTCCCTTAACGAAACGCGCCGTCAGGGAGAAATTGTGCGGAATTACACGCACCTGATATATTTCGACATAATCGGTCGCGCGTAGCTGTGCGACGCGGAATTAATCTTGGGTCACTTGGGTGGACGAGCAGGCGACGAGTAACGAGTCCGACGTTAATCCGCGCTTATCCTCGCGCCCGAAGTTTCGACCCGCGGTACGTATTCAATTTATTATCCGGCGTGAAATGATCGGGGCGAGAGAATCGCGCTCGTCGTTTTACGGATGTTCCGAGTGTAATTCAGAACCGAGCAAGCGGTGCGGCGCGGCGTCCGTAGCCGTGGCGGATTTAATCGGGAAACCCCCATTGGAAACGTTTCTGTAATTGATCTCCGGTCTCGCTCTCGAAGTAAATAGCCGCGCGCAGCGTAACGCGGTTACTTTGATCTGTTTTCAAAGCTTCCCTTTACCCGAACGAAACGAGCTATCTCGGAACCGCCGCGCTACTGCTATACTGCTGCTGCTACTGCTCTGCTGCTGCTAGAAATTATATCAAGCTAACGACCACTGCTCGTTGCAGCCAAGCATATCCCTGCCATCCTTTTGAAAGATGAATTTTGTTTGCTAAAACTTCGCGTCGAAACGATGGCGACGACGATGTCGTCGACGATGAGGACGACGACAACGACAACGACAACGACAACGACAACGACAACGACAACGACAACGAC